GCCCTAATAAATGGAAGACTACAATTAAACATGGGCCTACTGCGAATGTTGAAAATTACAGACCAATCAACATTCCTTCAGTAGTATCTAGGGTGATGGAGAAAGTAGTTAAGGCAGCGTTACTCCAACATCTACTTCGTAACAATCTGATATCGACCTTACAGCATGGGTTCTTGAGGTCAAGTTCGTGTGACCTATGCCCGATAGATTATTTCAATGATATCACGCATAAACAAGACAAAGGGCTTCTATTATCTGTCCTTTTCTTCGACTTTAAGAAGGCTTTTGATAAGGTCCCACGCAGAAGGCTCCTTCTTAAACTAAAGACATTCAGAATAAGTAATCCACTACATACATGGTTTGCTTCATTCCTAAATGGGCGCCAACAAATAGTTAGGTACAACGATTGTCGTTCATCACCAAGACCAATAACCAGTGGAGTAATCCAGGGAAGTGTATTAGGTCGACTCTTGTTTCTGATTTGCATAAACGATATATGTAATACTTATATGCTGATGATCTCAAAATAGTATACAGCTATAAGCCTGAAGATCTGGACGAAAATATAGCTAAGATTCAGAGTGATCTTGATAACTTAAATACCTGGAGCGAAACATGGCAGCTGCCGTTTAACCATAATGAATGTGGCATGCATTTTAGTAAACATCATCATGATATACCACTCTTCTTACTAAAATTTAGGGTTCAGACACTTACATCAGCGCATGATCTGGGTACCAGCTACTCCAGAAGCCTAAAACTCAAAGAAAATGCCTCAAATATTATCTCTAAATCCAGCCAACTAATTGGGTTTACAAATAAGAACTTCTAGACAAGTGAGGCTAAGCTTACACTCTTCAAAATGTGTGTAAGGCCCTCACTGAATAATGCTCACTTATCTCCTCAAATATGAATATCGTGGACAAGATAAGAGTAGATAATGTCCAAAGAAGCTTCACCCTGCGACTGCTCGGATGGAGCCATAACCTCAACTACACAGAAAGATGCAAAAATCTTTCCCTAGAACTTCTGTGGCACCGTCGGTTTAAAAACAACCTAATACTTTTCTATAAACTGATAAATGGTCTCTCGTTCGTAAAATACCGCCCAATTATGAACCACAACACTGCTTACAGATTTCGAACCAGCGCATGTGATTTGTTTGTTATACGATACACTCTATTGTGGAACAGGTTGCCAATTATCATTCGTATTTGTGACACAATTATTCTCTATATACTCAGTCCCCACGCACTCTTTGATGGCCCGCCGAATATTTAGATAAACCTTAGAAACTAATCACAGACTGTGAACACATTATGCACGCGTTGCCATCCATACAGGTATCACGAAATCATAGAAAATCCCCCTGCTCTTACTAACAGTTATAGGTTACACCTTTAAGGTGCTACCCGTGACTATTCTCTAAATTTAAATTCCAACCATTATTTTCATATCTTCAAAGCAGTTTTAGTTTTCATTTCTAGTGGACAGAAAAATTGAAAAGCCTGCAGATGCTGATCAACTACTGTCAATTACAAGGAACTCAAACTCCCCGTAGTATTGTGAGTTTCTTCTTGTTTAGATATTAACAATTTAATTAATTTTTATTTCCCAATTCATTAACATCCAAACACCTTGCCTGCTTACCAACTTATCGCTTTACTCATTAATTTTTAACATTATTTGAACTCTTTTTTTTTCACTTTCTCCTCGTTCCAGCTCCCTGTCCTTCCTATTTCCAAACTACCCATTAACTGACTCATCTTACATACAAATTATACCATTCGTTTACTTAAATCAGTGTGATATGCTATGTGGATATATTATCTGGCGAAGTTGTCCGGATTGCTTGTAATGTTGGAGCTAGTAGAGAATGTTAATTCCGAAAAAGTGTACAAAAAATAAAGAGTAGACTAGAAAACATTATTTACAATCAACCACTAAACGTAAGAGAGCCTATCATCATAAAAGGAGGGAGGGTGGTGTATCTGATCAGCAGAACATTTTGTTTGCTTACGGCTCCTTACGATATAGCAGGATGTAACAAATCAGTGATAGTGATGTTACTTTTCCTTGTTAACTTCGTCTACGACTCATGACTGTAATCTTGCACTGGTTTTAACTTCCTACCAAGAAATCCTATTACAAGATCTGGACAATTATACAGAAAAAGAGCTCATTCATAACTTCCTGCGCCACAGTGGTAAAAATAAATAAAAAAATAAAATAAAATAGAAGCATAAGATCACTGAGCCTCATTATTATATCCTGTAAATCAATATTGTTGCTAACAATTTGCTTCTTCTGAATTTCCGCTATTCATACGATCATTTGTCCATTTGTTATCTTACTATTGAATTGTCTTCATTACCCTACATAAATGCAGGTGTACTGTTAGTGTTCTAATGAAAAAAGTCTTAGTAAACATACCTTTGTTCTATGCAGAAACGTATGTGCTGAGTCACTGTTCGTCTTTATACAAGAATATTTTCTATTCTGCTCCTCGCCCCGTTCTCTTTTTCTTTTTCTTCAGTACCTTATTCCAATACCTATGTATTAGACTGGATATATGCCGAAGACTTGGTTACTTTACCCAAGGGCCTGTTAATTTATCAACCAGTTCTTGGCACATTTACCTCATGAATTATTGTTATATGCAGATCTGGCTATACCTTGCATTGTTTCACGGTCAATAAGAAGCTCATCGTAACGCAAACGCCGCAACTTGCACTAATTATTCTCGTTGTACATTATAGACCATCTAAATGGAGCCAATGTATCTTATGAAATATTTCAGTGACTGTACACCGCTTTAAAAGAAATAGGTTTTCGGACTTAACATTTTGATCTTGCCTGTAAATTGGCATACCTCTTGTAACATGTTCATTATTTGAGAATAAATTATTATTATTGTTAAAAAATTATTATAACACTTTGACAACTTCAAAATAATAATAATTTTTATTATCTCGGTTAATAACAGATATACTTTCTTTTTACTCCTACAGTTCTTTTCATTGACATTCTATGTATTATCGTTTAACTAACGTGTGAAGGTAAATAAATTCTTCCAAATAAGTAGTTCCGTCAGCTTTTAGATTTTTTCGACCTCCCTAATTGAAGTCATTCGGTCACACACTGCAAAACATCTACTGACAACAACTACCAATCTTCGTTCACTTACTCCTTGACAACCCAACGACTCTCCAAATATATCTCAGATTCTCACTATCGTTGACTTCTTGTTTTATTTGGTATTAAGGATTAAGCGTTGTCTGATTCAACATATCTGTGATACCTCCAAACTTGTTAATTCATTTATTTGTGTTACTCTTGAAACAGTCATCTTCACTTCAGAGACAAAACTCCCCCTTTATCATTTGCCAACAACTTTTCAGCACATTAATGAAATAGTTGCTGATATCCGAAATCCTTACTGTCTTGAGACAATCGAGTTCAGTAGAATTATAGGATATACAGATCAAGAACTAACTACTGAACTGAATAGAATCAGTGCATCTTGTGACTAGACAGTCACAAGTCAGACACTTCCAAACATCTGGAGTCGTACCGAAACAGCAAAAGCAAGTGCACAGAAACTTTCCCGACTTGGTAAACAGAGTGCACGCCGAGCTGGCGAGTCTCGACATCTGGAGTTTCACAGGAAACCATCTTAGGTCTACTTCTTGTCCTGATATTCAATAACGACCTGTGGAACAAAGTTAGCCCGGCCACAATGATCTACACAGACGACGCAAAGATCTGTAGGTCCATTAGAAGCGAAGAGGATTCAACTGAGCTCTAAAATGACTTTACATCTATTGAGGAATGGTCAGTGAAAAACGGTTTAAAAGTGAATCAATTGAAATGACACGTTAGAGACATTCTGCCCGACGTGACACAAAATACTTACACTCTCGGGTTACTAACCACTGAAAGCCTCGACTCCGGTTCCAACTATGTAGGGGACGAGGCCAACGCTAATGCAACACTCTATTGTATGGGAAGGAAACTGGATACAACTACCCCAGAACTATTCTTAACGTTGTTTAAGGCATACTCACACGTACACCCTGGGGTTTGCAACGCGTCACACCTCTCCTTAAAAGAGACTTACAGCTCTTAGGTCGAGTGCAGAGACGAACAACTCAATGATTGTGGGTTTGGAAAACAAACCTCATGAAGATAGACGCCAGCACTTGTGGAATTGGTGTACAACATATTAGGCTCGCCAAACCATCCCGACCTGAGCATCTTATTGGTGCATCACCACCACGCCTCTCAAGATAATCCTCAAAAGATTGCACATCAAAGAGCGAATACTCAGGTTCGAGCACACTTTTTCTCATTAGGATTTGTTACAACTTGGGATGCTCTCCCAGTGGCCACAAACTCTCGGTGTACAGCTCTAACAAGAGATCTGATAAACACTTATTCACATGAGGAATTTCATCTCCCTCTTGGACCAGCTGTGCCTAATGCATGTCCTCAGACTTACGAGTTGTTATTATAGTCATCTCCCAAGATCACAAAATTATTATCTGTTTCCCTCGCTTACACTTCCGTTCACTCATAAAATCTTCACTGCCAATTAATAAAGTTAATTATCCATTTAGTTACCTAGTTATGAAATCTTATTCTTAATAGTATTAGACTTCTTATGAATCTCCACATTGCAGCTAACTGATCTCCGGTCTGATATAAGATAGCTGCTAGTATCCATAAACCCTGCTGTCCTGAAACAAACATACTCATTCAAATCACAGGACGTAAAAACTCACAAACAACTGCCAACCGACTAGAATTAATGCAATTGTGTTTCTACTGGATATACCCGCGTCCATTGGACACTACCAAATACCTGGAACCGTACCAAAAGAACAAGAACCAAGCGCAAATAAGTCAGTAGGTTTATACTAGCTCGCGCGAAAGATATTGGATACATTACAGATATTAGAGAGGTTAACTGATCCATATGCGTTGTTTTTAGAGATATTGGTTAGCGCACTTTTTGTATTACTCGTTACAGTTGTGGGTCTCTCTGGTCGTTTTCTTGTTAACAAATCCATTTTTTGTATTAGTTTCAGTTTCGGTATTTAAAATTTCGCACAAAAATCCAGGTTACTTACTCAAGTTTGCAAACCTGTGGTGTATTGATCAGTGTTGTCCATCAGCAATGTGTTATTGTGCTCTGCCAGCAGAAACGTGGATGCAGCCGAAGCACGTGGTGCTAAAATCTGAACGTGGCAAACCTATTGATTGCTCTCCCATTCATTTGTATTTTGATCTTGCGGACTCAATTGTTAATCGAAGCTTTCCTAAATTTAGGACCGACATTTATTATGAAAGTTTAGTATGGGCGTTGAAATGTTAAATGTTAGTGTCCGATGTAGCCAGTTTTTTAATTGAAAATGATTGTTTGGTTTAGAATTTAATTTTGATGTTCTCTTTTGACAGTCATTCAGTTATGTATTTGACATCTTTTAGTCGGTAAAAATGGTCCCCACGTAACTACTGCAAATCTTCGTACCTGTACCATTAAAGGCTATCAAAGAAAGACTTCATCTAATCTGGAGTCTGCTCGTATAGTTCGTAGACATGAAATTGAATTATAACTACTCATCGCTACCAAAGTGACATTTGTGTTTATTCGGTCTTGACCTCTTATACAAACGCACCCTGATAACCCTTAAGTCTGTTTAGATTACCACACTCCAAACCAACGTAAAAAAAGTTAGTCCAAGTACAGCGGACCAGACTGGATATCTCGAATTTCATAATAGTAAAGAGTAAAAATGGCTATCTCAGTGAGACTCCAGTTCTGCCATCTAATCTTCTATTTTAACCACAAAAGCTGGTTACGAGGCAACACCGCATATTTAAAAACAAAATACTCGTCTCTAGTGTTCTTGGGTTAGCCTCTTTTGCTCGAAGTACTCAATAGTTGATCAGGACCGTATAAATCCTACAGCTATCAGTCATCTAATCGTCGTACTTTGGAACCACTCAGAATGGAGTAAGTTACTAATTTAGCTTCTAAGATTCTATTCACGACACACTATAAGGTTACATACAGAATGCTATGAACAATGGAGAGTATTCTACGACAGAAATATCACTCCACCCTGCTACGGACGTCTCGTATAATGCAGTCAGTCATGACAAAAGAGAAATTACAAGGTAGCAAAAATTCCACCCTCAGATCAGTTCTATGCTGATTTTTACAAAATATCTGGAACTTTTTGACCGAATGGACGAAAGCATGACCAATCTTACTATGATAGCTTTATATGACATGAAGACGTAGAGTTTATCCCCAGCCCCGATCAATGTTTTCAGGTAAAGATAGTAGTACTTCAAGTGGAAGAAGGTCTACTAGTAGAGAAACTTCCAGACAGGCGAATAAAGCTATCACCAAAAACAATTATCAAATTCAAAAATTGAAAAGAATAGACACTTGTGATGCAGAGGGTTAAGAAAATAGTTTGTCATACTCCTCTATTAGAGTAGAGTTTTGGGATTATTATTGTCCTTATTCAGACAGACTGGATTATGAAGACGTCGACATCTGGAGGGAGGTACGGTATCAACTGGACAGTTAGGACGCAGCTGGACGATCTGGACTTCGCAGATGACCTGGCTCTTCTATCGCACACTCAACAACAAATGCAAGAGAAGACGACCAGTGTAGCAGCAGCCTCTGCAGCAGTAGGTCTCAACATACATAAAGGAAAAAGCAAAATTCTCCGATGCAACACAACATGCACCAACCGAATCACGCTTGATGGAGATACTTTGGAGGACGTTAACACCTTCACATATCTTGGCAGCATCATCGACGAGAAAGGTGGATCGGACGCAGATGTGAGGGCGCGGATTGGCAAAGCGAGGGCTGCATTTCTACAGTTGAAAAATATCTGGAACTCCAAACAACTTTCAATAAAAACCAAAATCAGGATTTTCAATACAAATGTGAAGACAGTTCTACTGTATGGAGCGGAAACTTGGAGAACTACCAAAGCCATCATTCAGAAGATACAAGTGTTTATTAACAGTTGTCTACGCAAAATACTTCGTATTCGTTGGCCAGACACCATCAGCAACAACTTACTGTGGGAGAGAACAAGTCAGATTCCAATGGAGGAGGAAATCAGGAAGAAGCGGTGGAAGTGGATAGGACATACACTACGAAAAGCACCCAACTGCGTCACTAGACAAGCCCTCACATGGAACCCTCAAGGCAAAAGGAAAAGAGGAAGGCCAAGGAACACACTACGCCGAGAAATAGAGAAAGATATGAGAGGAATGAACAAACATTGGACAGAACTGGAGAGGGAAGCCCAGGACAGAGTTGGTTGGAGAAAACTGGTGGGCGGCCTATGCTCCATTGGGGGTAACAGGCGAAACTACTACTTATTCAGACAGAACTATCAGTACAGAGGGTCATCTAAATATTTATGCGCGACACATCAGTTTAACATTATCCCATGGTACCTGATGACCAATAGTAGGTACATACACCATCTTTCCCCCCAGGATCTTGAAGCCCATGTGCACCATTGGTTTTATATCCGAATTTCCCAACTCTAGATGGATCCTGCGTACCCACTCACCCGGTTTAAGAGTCGGACATCTAATTTTCGTTCTCTAGAGTTTGTAAACAGCACCCTTCCACGAGGACGCGGTGAGTAGGACTATATGTGATCGCACTTCTAGAGGGAGAGCGGACTTCCGACTCTCAATCGTATCAAGGCATTTTGGGGCAGAGTTTTTTGATGGTCATTATACTTCGGTTCGTTTCTCAGGCAATCATTAAACCTATCGATAACGGGCTCGAATACAGGTCCTAGGTCTTGGAATACAAAGGTTCGATTTTGGTAGACGTGTTTTATCTATGCATTTAAGTTTGAGTCAGAAAAAGTTTGATTTCCTTCTGTTTTTGTTTCTCAAGCCCTAGTTCATGGCTGTGTAACTGTCGAAGCTAGTATTCTTGATTTCAGATGTGTTGCAGTAACCATTCTGTCACAGTCTGAGAAATATCCCTTTAATCTAAACTGCCAGTGTTTGTGGTCGGCTTGGTGGAACTATATTTCCACGATCTCTTTGTGAATTGTAATCATCAAAAAGTTTGGATAGCCAGTTTTCGTTTATAGCTTTAACGGTGGTTATCTCTCCTTGGGTTTTAACTTATAGTAATTAATCACCTATTTTCGTCCTTTCTAGATGGATATCATCAAAGCAAATTTAAATAACATTACGGATAACAGTTTCAAAAGGCCTGGAGACAAACCCAAAACTCTGAACTTAATTCCTAATAACGTACATCTTGTTGTAATAAGCAAGTTATCCATCCGAAAGATTATCCGTGTGAACTTACCACATCGTTCAAAAAATCTGTCTATCTGTTTGATAGTTAAAGATTTTCGCAAAGATGATTATGAACGCTCTACGGAATCCTGGAAACGCCGTTGGAATATGGATTTGAAGAAGTCCAAATTGTCCCACTTAGACACACCTGAAGTAACATTTTTACCACTGCGTGAATTAAAAGTAGCCTACCAAACGTTTGCTGCCAAACGTCGATTGGCTGCCACTTTTGATATATTTCTTGCCGACAAACGAATTGTTCATCGTTTACAAAACAAACTGGGCAAAGCGTTCTATCAGGAAGTTTCCGGAAAATTCCCTATCCCAACGTCATTCTCGAACAACAACCTCGTAGATACTGTTAGAAACCAAATACATACATCTTTATTCGTTATTCGGGGTAATGGGACAAGTGACAGTCTCATAATTGGGGATGATCTTTTTTCTCCATCTGAGTTAAAAGAGAATGTAATATCAGTTGTAAGTGATCTTAGAATTTTGTTTCCCAGTTCCATGTCCTAAATATTTGAAGTAAATATAGGGATACTGGCATCACTGTTTGTTTATCGTATCTGTGTATTCCTTGATAAGAATAAACTAATTCGGAAATAATAAAGATGAAAAATATTCCTGTTTGTTCCCAGATATGTAGGTACTCACAGGTAACATTTTATATACCTGTTTCAAGTGACCAGCTAAAATCCAGTTAAAGATAACTTACTAACTACGGTATTGATTTGTTTGTGCTAACCATAAGTGAACAAACCCAAGTAATGGAGGTTGGATCAAACTAACTTTCTTCATGCAGATTGAAACATATTGTTTATGGAATCTTTAATTCGACACAACTCATCCACTTGATCACCCCAACGAAAACAATTGAAGTAATCAGATGCCACGCACGCTATTTCTGTAGGTAGGATCTCAGGTTTCTAGCACTAATCAAAACTACTCAGCGTCAATTTTTATGTAGAATAGATTTCATTATAGGTTGAGGTCAAAGCCGTATATGTTGATTTTTGTTCACAACTTTTTAATAAGGTAGCACGTTGATACAAACTCAATATTCTTACATTTCATCCAACAACCCATCGGAAATGAGAACTAAACCACCCCAGTTGTTTTTTATTTTCAATGGTTGATTAACTACTTTTAGTCCACCGTGAAGTTTTCAAACTAACAAATCAACACGTACTTGCTAGTGGATGCCGACTCTGCTTATCACCATCTATAGAGGACTTTCTTTAGATTGTGAAATACATAGTCCGTCCACCACTCAAAGGGTCTCTGTTCCGGTTCTCGGTTGTTCTATAATCAGCGTAACTACTGTAAAAACTATCATTTCTGCTATATCTATAAAATCACCAATGTAAAATATGAGCCTTTTAAACTTTTTATTTATTTTTTCAGTGTGAAAAAATCTGTACAGAATGGCCAGGTGGTGGTTTGGCAAATATACGTTCTATGTACATTCAGAGTCCAGGTATTTCCCTTCCCTTGTACTATGACGAAACAGAGGTGCCCTTAACTACAATAAGTGAAAAATTATCGAATCTTCCTAAATCTGCCCATCGAAAATCTCACGCACTTATTAAGAAACTAAAAGGCACAGATGGTGAGCCAATCGTTAGTCAACCTAAAAAGTCACAAAGACTACTCAAAAGACTACCGAAAGAACTCGTTTCACAAATTTCAGATGATCTTCCTTTAACATCAGATGAAATCAATACAATTTTACGCAAACGAAAATTCGAAGATGGTAACATCCCACAAATGAAGCGAACACGAAATAAAAGGATTTCCCGTCGTAAATTTGTAAAAATATAGTCTATTTTTCTGGGTTATTTTTATGGTAATAACAAACTGAATATCAGAGAAATCAGCCTGGAAGATTATCTTTATCTGTCTTGCAATAATTTTGTTGTCCACTTCTATAGACCCTCAACTATGGAAGTTAAGGACATTATTTTGAGTCGTCTTGGTACGTGCGTATTACCTTGGTGTTGATGCGATAAATAATATGTATATTAAGTAGTCTCTGAAGGATATGTTATTTTCCATCCATGAAATGTACTTAAATTATTAAACTACGTGTTAGATATTGCCTTCGTCTTGGAAGATCAGTTAAATAAAATCCTTAATAGAAAGGTAAATTTATGGTAACTAATGTAGGCATAGGATGGTAATCAATAATATTAAGGTTGTTTTTTATAAAACACCACCTGTAACATTAACGTAGTACGGTAAGCATTCAAATCACTTATTGTAATCTCTGGACGTTCTTTCCTGGTTTTGTTTATCTTCGTAAGCCTTGGTATTAGTTGACTTTGAGTTGATAAATTATACAGTCCTATTTGTATATCATGCATACTGATTAGGTCATGGATAGCGAGTCTATGGTAGCTCTACTGTAAATTTCTAGTTCCTCTTTGTATGGATTAGGATTGTATGAGAGTTTCCTGCATTTCTTTCAATAACCTCATCTTAACGAGGTTATTGAGTTTGGTCTGCTGCTGATAATCTGTGTAAAACAACCTCATCCCATCTTATGGATATTAGGCCTTACTATATTAAGTCGGCAACGGTTGCTGGATCAACTGCGATACCGACCTAGGGATGTATAAATGGTCGGTTGGGGAGCATCTCATTTAGGAGTCAGTTAAACAGTAAAAACTTCACATTGAAAGTCTTTGTAGGCTTCTTTAACAGTGCATCGAGTTAAAGTACTAAAATATGATACTATCCAATTTGTTTCATTATTCAGATAAACGTACTTCTAATTGTACTAAATGAATATTAGTCTGCGTATTGTGACTCAATATTGTTACCATTTCTTTCAAACATCATTGTGTTAAACAACTTATGGTTTAATATTGACAATTGTCAGATGAGAAAAAGGTGTTATTTGTTGGTGGTATGCTTGTTTTTTCTTACGATAAAATCGAATAACAGTTAAACAAGTATATTCAGTGGTTAGAGTCACCAAGTATTAAAATATTTTTACCATGGTTTCTATGGAACTGCAAGTTTCTGCACTTAATCGAGAAGTGAGTCTAGTTTCCAGTGTTGAATTATGGAGAAGTAAAAACGATACTGTACCACGGTTAGTTACGAAAAATTTGCCTTCAATTTGTGAATATTAACAAATACTTATATCCCAGGTTGCATGTACCTTTTCTCGTTCAAAGTATCAATACCAGTAATATGCTATAAATATATTCTTAATGAAACTTCTCTAAAGTGGCATCAAAAATTTAATCCAAGAAAACAATTAAGTGTGCTATGCTGAATTGATCTACGAAAGAAAATTTATCAGGATAAAATTTTGCGCTTGACGAAATAATGTTCTTTCAAAATTCTAGGTATGCTATAGTTCTAATAAGCAGTTCCATTAATCATCTCTACATAAAATCCATACACTTATAAGCTTCGGCATATCCACGCATTCTAATGTGACTAGTGATGAATTTTAGTTCGATTGATAACAATCGATTTCTAAAATTCAGTGCGATAAGATATACTTATTCGTTCGATCAGTGATTGTGTAAGCTGTTTTAACTAGGTGAATCAAGATTAATTTAGAGAACGCAATGTGAACATATAATAATGTTCTCGACTCGATAAATAATAAATACGATCAACAGGACAATGCCTGGAACCGGTGACAAAAAAAGAAATACGTATCGTTGAGTCTATAATTGGATCTAATTTATTGTTGTTGTTTTTAAGGAGGTTGGTAAAGGTTGCATCAGAACTTGTGAAATCCGATTCATGAAGAATATCTAATGATTTTTATTTACGTACAATCCTATTGAAAAAAAATTCAGATCTGATCATTAATATTTTTAGAACAAAGAAACAACTAAAAATTTAAGTATGCTGACATCTTAACAACAGGTTTATGAAAACTCCTTGTTTGAATCAATCAAGAAAACACATGAAACTAAATATTCCTCTTAGTAGTAATGAAGATCTAAGTGATTTACTACTCACTATTTGTCTCGAGTTCCCTTAAAATCTTAAATTCCTTTTTGATTATCAATAACGGGAAATTTAGTCACTAGGTCTTGTCAATCGATTTTACGATTTGTTCGAAACATCCCAATCTTGTCATCTGACACCCGAAAATCCGGTATGTTGGCGTCAATACTATCATTCTCAATCTATTCATGTTCATGTTAACCTGTTGAAACTGTATGTTTCAACCTGTTTATACTTTGTAAAGTTATTGCGAACAATTTCAGTTTATTCCAATTGAATATTTATGTGAATTATCCTGGTGGAGTGAAGTCTTACATTGTTTACATCTAAAATACTTTTAACGGTACCGTAGAAGAAGCTTCTAAGTTGTATTTTATGATGCGAGAAACTCCGAACGAATACTGTAAAATTCAAATCAAATCATAATATCTATAATAGTTTAGAAGTTTTTACGAGCAAGAACTAACAGGTATATAATAAGCTATAGAAATGTTTCAGGTCAAAATGTAAGTTGGAAAGCATCACCTTGTTTAGATTGAAGCAATTCATCAACTGTACTCAACGCTGGTCGAACTACATGTTTATGGTCTTTTTTAGTGAGGTGAAAACGAAAACATCATGCATGAATAAATTTTCTGTATTATGCATTTTATTCATATAAAGTATCGTATTTCGTAGACAAACGGTAAACTCAGAATTTTTAAGCCTTTCATAGCGTAATGTGACTCAACATTTCAATGTATGTAATTAACTATATTCTTGATAATTCTTAAAACTATTCTGATCAAAAATGTACAATTGTTTAACTTCTTGTATTCAGTAACCGCTGAAAGTGGACATATTTTTGTTATGATATGTGGGTCCCGAAGTCTGAATGCTATGCCTACTAACTCTCGATATTGGCTGCTTGAGCGAGAATGCAAGAAGGGAATAGAAAATCTATTTGGCTATCGAATAATCTGTACAAATACTTATGTATAGATATCCTATGTCTTCAGAAAATGAAGCCATTTCTCAACTAGCGATATGTTAGGTGTTCATCAAATGGTATTTTCATCTGGCCACTCCTGATTGGCTCATTTCACAAAATTTCATTAGGCTTTCAATAAATATGCAATACAAACCAAAATAATTGAAACATAGTAGAAGATCAAAGAGACAACATATACATTAGCTTTTATGTAGTAGTACACAATATCTGTTTTTATAAAGTAAAGACCGGAAATCTGAGTTACATTAACTGTAATGATTCACAGGTTTATTTATATATCAAATAGTAGATAATTTTGCATTTCAGACTTCAAAACGCCATATTACACGTACGGAGTTCTACGTTGCATCTGACTGACGCCATATTACAGAGTCAACATAAGTAAAAATCACTTACTAAGTGTTGCATCACGTGATGTCCGTTTGCAATAATACATATCTTATCAACTTGATTTCTTTAAAACAATTAACTTGAAATCCAAATTTCATTTTTCTAGATTTTTGTTTTCGATGAAAACGATACTATTTCTGTTTGAAAAAAGCAAACAGGGTTGATATTTTCCCTATTAAAGTAAAACGAATCTCCTATTTCTAATGCAGTGATCAGTTCAACTGTCAAATGAATCACAATGTCTTTTCTTATAAACCGCACAATACGCATTTTGTTCACTGGCAGATATAAATACTACATGAACAACTAATAATAATAGTGATAAATTAGATTGTACTTATTTATTTCCGGCTGATTGAATTTCAGTATTATTAATATGGTTAGACCATAAAATAAATTAATCTTGTTGAGAATGTTGTATTCCGACTATAAATAACTACGTAATAATGGCTGAAATTAATAATAAGTTTTATCATTTATCTTGAATGGTCAAATTCTCATACTACTTTACATAGATATATAGAAAATATTGAGAGGAATAAATACAGAATTTTTTGTCAACAGGAAAATAAACCTAAATTAAAATCTACTCAATTCAAAGTAAACAATGTCTCAGTGAATAGTTATTTCCATTCATTTTTCTTCCGAGATAGTATATTTATGAATCTACGACTGTGGTGCGCGCTACTTATAAGTAGTATATGACGCAAGTGTAAACGTAATGTCTGGCAGCAGAAGATGCGGGAAGATCAAGAAGGGAAGAGTGGGAACACAATGGAATTTGTATGAAACGCATGAATAGTGAAATTTCAGACAATGGATTGATGATTGATTGAAGATTTGCGAATTAACGGTTACCATATGGTTTCTCTATTTTACTGAGTAACTCTGTAATTTTCGTTAAATACAATTCGGTTGCCGTCACCTGTGTTCTCCTTCACTACACGGCATATTATAGGTAGTCATTTCGAAAAAGTTACTTACATTTGCGATAAAACAGTTAGCATAATTAAATTCCAAATCAATGATCTAGGTGTCGAATATAGCGACTTCAAAATATATTGCGCCGGTAACCACTTTGAATCCCGTCAGAGGCAGAAATCAGAAGACCAGCTGCGATTGGAGTTAAGGTATATTCTTTGGAGATCTCATGGTATCGAAATAACACCAAGATCAGACCCTAATATACGAGCGAGACTACCAAGCGTACGTGAGCAAGCCCAAGGAAGGAAGGAAGATATGTGTTTTGGCTACAATTAAACAAACGAGGACAGTCAAACAATCACTGGTGCAATGGGTTACAATAATGAATGTTTATATTAGACCAGTCACGTTCTCTTCATAAAAGTGGAGTCACCACAAATTGGTGGTGAGAGATCCTGAAGGAGCAGTTAAGAAGTCATAGACAATGTACGTATTCAAAAGTGAGGCTATACTTTATTATCTACCAAGAAAACAAAGAATGTTCCTACCACAAACCATACATATAAATAATGACATAAATGCAATTATAGTCTTGTTAACTGGTGCAGTTATGTATAAAAATAAAATTTTTATGTATTCTTCAATTATACAAAACGGATTTCAACTAAAGTACTTGCATAATTCAACAATTAAAATGGTAAACTAGATCT